ATATAATATAGGTATTTTTTTATTTTGAGTAAGGCTTTTCCTATTTTATATTTTTTTTAAGGAAAAAACGAACAATAATAAGTTGGATTATCTTTAAGATTTCCTAGATTTAAAAGAATAAGATATGATAAAAATATTGAAACTTCAACTTAGGTTTAATAAGTATTAGAAATGTATAATTTATAAAGGAAAAAATGAAAATTTGCTATTTTTTAAGACAATAAGTATTTTTGTAAATTATAAGAAATAATATTTTGTTTATAAATAAATTTATTTATACTTTTTTAGTTCTTTTATTTTTTTTATTTTTGTTATTTATATTTACTAATAATTTTTTTAAAAAAAATATAGTAAGTAAACATTATTTAATGTATATATATTTATGTATTATATAAATTTCTTTTTTCCATTTCATTATAATTTTGTGTCATTATTTTCTTTTGTTTTTTAATTATTATTTTAATTAATTAAGATTTTTTAATTAATTAATATTTATTTTTATACTTATTTTATACTTTTTTTTAGCTTTTCTATCTATTTTTTATATAAAGATTTTTTTTTATTTTTTGCCGTTCCAATTTTTATTTAATCATGTGTACTATACATTTCCTTTTATATCTTCAAGTTAAGTATTTTTTATTAAAATAAAATTTAATTAATTATGTTAATATTATTTATCATATTCTTTAATTATAGCTATTTTTATATAAAACAAAAAAAAATTACATATTTAATTTAAAGATAAAATAATGTTTAATAACATTAACTATAACTTTTTAAAAACTTTATAACCAAAGAATTTAATTTCTATTTTAATCAATGAATCAATGAATCAATTAATTTACAAATTCCAAGAAAATAATATTTATATTATAATATATAAAATAATTATTTAAATTTTTAAATATAATTTTTCTTAAAAATAACAAAAACATAAATATTTGTTATGAAAACAATTATAATATATTTTATATAAAAATCATTAAAACATTTTATTATGATAATTTATTTTTATTATTTTTTTCTGTACTGTTTGTCATAGTTTTCGAATAAAATTATTTTATTCTTTAATATTTTTTTCATCTTTAAATAATTTTTGATTCTTTTTTAATTAAACTGATAGATATAATAATAAAAGGAAATATTATTTTCTAAATAAAAAAAAAAATTAATATATAAAATCTTTTCGTAAATTTAATAACTGGATATTTAAATAATATAATAAAAAATAATTATTTCCCTTTAAATTATACTATATATCCAAATTATGAGTTAAATTTTAATCGCTCTTGCTTTCTTAAAGTCTATATTAAAAAATGAAAATATAATTTATAAAAAAAATTAATAAATATAAACTTGAAGTACTTAAGAATTTTTTCCTCATAAATATTACTATATTGTATTTTTTCTTATTATATATTAAATTAATATATCTATTTGTAAAATAAAAAAACCATTGTTTATAATATATAGAAGATTAGAATAACTTTTTAATATGTTTATTTTTATTTTTAGAATAATTTTATAGTTTACTTCATATTATATTATATTTCACAAATTTATAATAAAATTCTATAATTTATTATCATTTTCCTGTAAAATTCCAATATCCATATATTATTTATTTTTGTTAATTTTAAATTACATTAATATAAATAAAATGATTTAATTATTAATAATATTTTTTTTTTTTTAAAAAAAAAGAAAATTTTATAAAAATAAAAATAAAAATCATGTTTCTTCTTCTTCTTCTTCCTCTTCTTCTCCAAATAAATTTTCTTTTTATTTAATAATTTAATATTAGCTTAAAATTTCAGTTTTATTTTTTAATTTAGAAATAAGGAAATCAATTAGTTTTCTTTAAAAGTTTTTACATTCTTTTAATTTTTGAAAATTTTAACTTGACATTGATTATGATTTTTTTTTATTGTTATCTTAATTATCCACATTAATTTCCTTTAAATCTTTATTTAATTATTATTCGATTTTTTCTATTTATTTTTTCTCTTTTTTACCTTCTTCTTTTAATAAATCCAGTTTTTTAGTTTATTATTGTATATTTTACATTATTTCATTTATTTGTTTATAATTTCTTTCTTTTGAACTTTAATTAATATGAAAACTTCTTTAAAATCTTTATTTCTTTTCATTTTATTCATATTCTTATTCTTATTTTTATTATTCCTATTATTGCTCATTTTTCTTTACTCTTTATCTAGAACAATACGAATAACCAGAAAAGGTCCTTAATTTTTGATTTTCAGTTTCATGAATTGAAAGTAAATTTCTGCTGCATCCTTGTTTTAAACCTAAATAGATTCTCGTTACAGCTGAAAAAATTAAATCAGAGCTACTCAAATAAGAGTTTGATTATTATTTAGTTATTTTTGTTGACTTATTTGTACTTTATACATGTTGACTTAAATTTTTTTTTTCATCTAAAGAAAAAATTTAATTTTATTAGTTTTTTTAATCATAAAAAGCTTTTTTTTTTACTGATTATTTGTTTTTTGGTATACTGTTTTCGATTATTATTTCTTTTTTTTTATTTTTTAAAAACTAATCTTGTTTAACCCGAATAAATTGTTTTACAGGATATTCTTTTTGTTTTGCTTTATTTAAAATATTATTATTTTTTAACAAAAAAAAAAAAAAAACCTAATTAATAGTATGCACTTTTCTATTTATCTTCTAATTTTTATTACATATGTTACTAAATTTATTTCTTTTTATGATAAACGGATAACCCAGCTTATTTCCCTTTACTATAATTAATTAATTAATCTAATTAAGAATTTTTGAAAATTTTGACAGTATAATTTTTTTCTTCTTAGTCTTCTTTTTCTATTAGCTAATTTAATCTCCTAAACTCTGTATTTTATTTTTTTTATAATTTTTTTTCTCTTTCTATAGTTTCGATAGATTTATAATATGAAGAGTCTATTTTTTATTATTTTTTTGTTTTGTTTAAATAATAATAATAATAATAATAAAAAAAAACAAAAAACAAAAAAAACCTTTTTAAATTCCTAAAATGTCTTCAACAACAACTCCATTTTTATTTATTTCGGAAGGCTAAATAATTTCCTCGAGTATTATTTCTTCTTTTTATTCTTGTTTAAATTTTTTGCTTTTTTGATTTTCTATTTCGAACTTTTCTAAGTAATATATTTAAAGTTATTAATATAAATTATTTTAAAATAATGAGTTTTATATATCAAAATTATCTTTTTATTTTTTTAAATCTTTATTTTTAAGTATATAATCTTTAATTATTTGTTTTATTTTTTTCATTTCTCTTCCAAATTTGTATTATTTAAACAAATTTGGAATATTAATATTTCCCTTTTTTATTTATTGATTTATAGTAATTTATAGCTTATTATCTATATCTCCTCTGTCTTTTTTATTTTTTAATTTTTTCTATTATAAATTCTATTCATCATTATTATTATTGTCTGCTAGTTTGCTCTGTATTATAAAATCATCATAATATTCTTGCTATTATATATTTTATATGAATTTCATTTCTAGTTTTTATAAATTTTATTAATCTTTTTACCAATCTTTATTTTCTTCATCTAAATTTTAATATTTTTATGACATTAAGTTTATTCCTTAAACTGTATTTGGATTTTAATTTTTCTAAAACACATTTCTTTGTGTATGTGCTGCTTTTTTTCTTATATACATTAGTATATTTGATAATTTAAAATTATCAAAATTTTTAATTGGATTATCACTTCTTATTGGCTTTTTTTATACTGTTTTATTTACTAAAAATTAAGCGTAAGATTAACTAGCCATTTTTTTATTTTAAATAATTTTTTACTGAGTTTATTTATATATTGCTTTCTAAGAAAACTATAATAACTATAATAAAAAGGAAATTTTTTAATAAAATAATATTTAGTAAAATTATAATAAATTAATGACATAATTTTAAAAATTTATACTTTAAAAGTAGAATTGATAAGATAAATATTTATAAAAATATATATAATAAAATGAATAAGTATATTTATAATTTAGTAAATTATATTATAATATTTATATTAAAGGTATAATAGAGATATTTAGCAAAAATATTTCTTGATTAATTAAAAAATTTAATATATTTTATTTGAATGATTATTATTTAATAAAAATATCATTTTTTATTATTTTATTTAATTTAAAAAAAAAAGAAAATATAAAAATATATTCAATTTATTCAATTTATTCATTTTATTAAATTAAAATTTAAAAATATTATTTATATATATAATATATTTATCATTTTATATAAAATATTTTAATAATAAATAATATATCTTTAATATTTGCTTAAAGTTTTAAACTAAAAGAATATTTTTATTTCGACCATTTAATTGATACTAATTTATTTATAAAAAATAAAAATTAAAAGTTAGTTTTTTTTATAAAAAATACTGGAAATATTTATTCGGACAAACATGAAAAAAAAACAAAAAATTACAATTTAATTGATAACTAAAAAAATTCAAGTATTTAGAGCTTAATTATAACAAATACCAAATAAAAATAATAATATTAACAAAGGAGATTTTTTCTTTGGAATTATATAAACCAATTAACTGATTAAATAGTTAAAGTATATATATATAATGCTATACTAATTGTGATTTTATACAAACAAAAAATAAAAAAATTGATGAATGTTCAAATATTTAGATATAAATTAATTAAAATAAACAAAAATACAAATAAAGGTATTCCAAATCTTTAAAAAATATAAAAATAATTGTAAATACACCTATTTTTAATATAATAATTGTATAAAAAATAAGAATTTTTAAAACAGTATTGTATGGATATATTGTTTAAAAATAAATAAACATATTTGCTTAAAATAAATTTAAACCTTAAAATAAAAATAAACCTTTTTTAAAAATAAAGATTTTCAAAATTTACAATGTAAAAATAAGTAAAAAAATTAAAAAACCAAACAAAAGATAAATTTAAAAATTAAATTTTTGATTTCAAAACTCTCTATATGATCCATATGGAGCTATTAATTTAAGAATCATATGCTCTTTAGTGTGAGCTTTACTATCTTAAGTATTGGCAATATGGTTAGTTAACTCTTCATCTCCATTCATATATTTATCATAACATTCTTTATTAAATTCGATAAAACCAATTGATTAATATGGTCCAGGTAAACAATTAATACAAATATATCTTGTAAACTTTTCACTACCATCACATTTTCCACTGCATGAATAAGGATGTTTTTTAGATGTATAATCAAATCCGGGAGGATGTTATAAATTTTTTCCTAATTTATATACTTCTATATCCTTTTTTTGTTAATTTAAATAAATATTTCTCATTTTTTTATTTTTTACTTATATTAAACTTTCATTTAAGCTATTAATTATTAATAAATTATAAGGAACTTTATAAGATTCTATGAATTATTTGGTTTCATCCTTTTCGTCTCCACATTTTAAACAATAATATTCATTTATTTCTGTAAATGGATTTAAATAATAAGGTATTTAAAGACTTTCTTTACAGAATTCACATTTTTAACCTAATTTGAAAGTAATAGTTTCTATTAGGTCTGGTTTATATTCAAATAGTTTATTGTCTATTCCAAATTGTTCAAAAATTTAAGTTAATTTTAACTTTATTTTCTAATCATCGCATTATTTTACTGAATATGAAATTATAGGCTAATTATATATCTTATCTTTTTATTTATTATTATTATAATATATAAAAAATATTTAATATTTTACCACTTAATTTCTAATTATCAGTAAGTTTCATATAATTATTTATTTTTATTTCTAAAGTATATTTATAAGGAATATCAATTTAAATTTCATATTATTATAGATTTAAATTCTTACAAAGTTTATTTTTTATAAATTAGTATTCTTATTTTTATAAATATTTCGAAGATAAATCATCAGTTTTTTTATCCGGCCAAGATTAAGAATAAATAGGCATTAATGGTTAATAATCTTTTCCTGCATAATAAACTTCTAGAACATAATCAGTTTACCTTTTTAATACTTTTTAAATAGTATCATTATCTGGAACTTCTAATTTTAAATTTTTAATTTTTTTTACTTCCCAACAAATTTTAATAGTTTTTCATTATGATTATAAACTAAACTTTAATAAGTTTCATAAACAATAAAAAATTATACATTTAGTTCACTATAAATTTTCTATATTTTAACCATATGATCAAGCATAACTTATGTTGTATCTATAATCTATATATTAACAAAAATATTATTTTAAAAAAATAATTATTATATATATATATATATATATATATATATATATATCATAACATTTGTGTCAAAAATAATCTATTGGTTTTTAATCTAGTTTTATAGCTCTTCTTTAATTATGTTAAATATTTTTAGTTACTTTTTATTAAACTATGAAATTATAACAGGTTTTAAATAAGTACATTTAAGCGTTTCTTTTTTAAGTGTAAATTACATAAAACAACTTATAGATAATTTTTTAAAAAGCGCAATTTCTTCTCTATTTTAATCTACCAATTATTACATATATTAAATAAGAGTGCATTAATTGGATAACTCTAATGTATATTCATTTTTATCTTATTCTTATTATGTTTGTATTTATGAAATTAGTTAATTTATTTATTATTATAATTCTGATACATTTATAGTATTTTTTTTATTTTCAATAATTCCTTAAGAATCTACAATCATAAACATAAGTTATTAATTTTCTGATACAAATTTTTGTAAAATATCTATACTGTCCTTTTATTCTTGTGACTCTTTAAAAAGAAAATGCTCAAATTAAAACAATTAATGGTTTTCTATTTATTTTATTATTTAAAGCCTTAATTTTTACACTGTGTGCATCCAAATAAATCTCACCTTTTTTTAAAAAAAATAAAATAAAATAATATGGAAAAAAATAAAATTATTAAAGTAATAACTAATAAATATAATTATTATTAAAACAAATATAAAAAAAATATTATTATACTTTATTTCTCCATTTATTTTAATTTTATCTTATAATTTCTTAAATTTATTTAATTTAGGCTAATTAATTGTCTTCGTAATATGATTTAGTAAAATAAATGAAATAGACCTATTATTTTATATATTACAGAATAATTTATTTATTAATTTTATAAATACTTAGTTTTCCTAATGTTTTATTGTAGTAGATTAGTTAGTTGATAAATTATAAATATCTTTTATCTCAGGAAAATAACACCCTTCACTATAATTATTACTAATTGTAAATTTATCAATTAATTCTTAAATTTATTTTATATCTTCCTTAAGCTTTTCGTTAGTTTTTTGTTATATCAAAGGTATTGTTTAATCATCTATAATTTAGTTTGAAAAAGCATAAAACTTACGAGTGTTTTATATTTCTTCATTTTTATTACAAACATATTTTAAAGTAAATATTAATTGTGAATCACTTATTTCCTTTTCTTTTAATGTATCTTTGATTATATTTGAAACATCACTAGTTATTTATTCTATTTCTTTTAGTTATTTGTCAATGTATTGCTTGTTTTTATCATAAGTTTCTTATTCCTTGTTATATGCTTAATAGAAATATTAATCATTTTAAAAATCTAAATCTTAAAAATAATCAAGTTCAATCATTACTTTTTTATAATATTACTTTATTATATTTAAAAAATAAATAAAGTGTTTTAAAAAAAAGTTACTTTTTAATATTAAAATATAAGAAAAAATATTTTAAATATGCCTTTTTTTTAGGCATTTAAGATATATTAAATATTTTCGAAAATAAAATAAGTGTAATTTTTTTTTTTTTTTTCGAATAATTTAAAAAAACTAAATATAATAAATAAATAATTTATTTGTATATGAAAAAATTTAATAGTTAATTTCGAAATATTTTTTTATTTTATTTTTATTTTTTTAATTAATTATCACTTTATATCATTTAACTATTTAGCAACTTTAAAAGTTATGTAAATTTTTTAATTACAATCAAATAAACATAATTTTTCTTTTTATGTGAATTATTAATCATTTAATTTTAAGCATTTTCTAAAGCAATAATTATCTAAATTAGACTGTACTTCTTTTAAAGTTAATAAATCATTTAATTAATTATATAAAATCTTTGGGTCTTCTTTTACAAAAGTTCTATATTAAGTAACATCGGTTTTTGACTCACCACTTTTAGAAAACGGGTTAAACATTATAAAAATATAATATTTTATTTTTATAAAAATTAAAAAGATTTATATAATAAAAAAAAATTAAAAATTATATTAATTATATTTCTTAAAAAATTATTTTAATCAAAAAAATGTAAAATAATAAAATAATATAAATATAATATTTATATAAACTTTTTAATATATATAATTCTTATAAAACAAATCATATAATCATAAAATTTATATATTAAATTATTATAAAATCAATAATAATATAAATAATATTATTAATTTTTATTTAAAATATAGTTTTTTATTAAATATAAATTTATAATATTATATAGTTTTATATATTTATTTATAGAAAATATTTAAATATTCTATATCAAGATATGTATTTAAGTATAATATGATGTTCAGACTTAAATTTACAATCTTAATTATTGCTATTTATTCTATTTCTCTATTTATAAAATCTATCATAGTATTCTTTAATAAATTAAATAAAAATAATTGATTAATAACGTCTAAATAAACAATATTTCATTTCCGAAATAATTTAAAAAATATAAATAAGAAGAATATAGTAATTTCGCTAATATATATTAATATTTATTTATTGGGATTTAAAATTAAAAATTAATAAATATTCATCCTATTGTTTCTAATTTTTTATATAGTAAAGCTATTCTTAGTTTCAAGTGAAATTAAATATTATTTATTTATTAGTCCATAATTTTAATTTTAATTTGGTTTTTGGTTTTATGTTTTTTATGATAATAATATATGAAAAATATTTTTTATTAAATAATAGATAAAAAAATAGTAAAATATACGAAATAATTTTAAATAATAAACAAAAATTTTATAAAAATATTTATAATAAATATATTTAAATATATTTAGAAAATAAAATAATTTTATTAATTCGAAATAAATTTATTCTATAATTTTCAAAAACTATTTTTTATTTAAATATTTTTTTGTATATTTTATAATTTTCGGTATATTAATGATACTTTTATAACAAATATTTTTTTTATGTCACAAATGAATATTTTAATTATTTTAAATATTAATTCTCACTTTATTTTAATGAAAAAATAATTAGTTAATATTTTATTTTTTGCATATTTTATTTTATTATTAAAAGTCTAAAAACAAAAATTTTCAATATGATTTTTTTATCTTTCTTCTTTATTTTTGTTGTTTTAGATTGCGTTTAATAATAAAATAAAGAAAAAATAATAATAGACTATGTTAAAAAGTAATATAAAATATTTTTTAAAAAATAAATATTTTTATATAATATTTTTTACTAAAAATATTGGTATTTTTTTATATTATATATTATTTTTCAATTAAAAATTTAGCAAAAAAATATTAGTTAATTTTTTTAAAAAAAAATTGAAAATGCTAATCATTTAATGCTCATTTTGTAAATAACTATTGTTAGAAATAGAATAAAAATAATTTTAATTTATAAAAATAAAGCAAACAACCTTCACTAAAATTTATAAATGTTATATGAATAATTTTTTAATCAATTTTCAAAACATTAAAATATGCGAAAGTCTTTCTGTTTATAATCAAATATAATGCAATTATTGTTTTTAAGAAATTGGAAGAATATATATTTCTACTGTATTGGAATTAGATGACTTATTAACAGAAATAGCTTTAACAAAATGTTAATTATATGATTTGAAAAACAATATTTATTTAAATGAAGAAAATACTAAATGTCAAAAATAATCAAATTTAAAACTTAAAAAAAGAAAAGAAATTAAATCATAAAATATTTGTAATATAGAAAATAAAAATATTGAATAAATTAACTATCAATTAGCTTAGAAAAATATTGAAAAAGCAAATGAATATTTAAAAAAAGTTAATAAAATTGTAACTTTTGTTTAAAATAGAAATAAATAATAAGAGCAAACTATATTTAAAAATTTTTTATAAATACAATCATTAAAATAAATTCATAATTATTGAAAAATTAAAATTAATAAATCATTCATTAATTTTTTTTATTAAAAATTATAACTATTTTTTATAAATATATCAATACTTTTTTATTATTGAATAAATTTGATTTTTAATTTTTTTTAATTATAAATTTCTTTAAATTCATATAATTATTTTATTAGTTCTTTTATACATTTTTTA